CCCTCACCTCATGTAGACCCCAGGAGGCACCATGGTGGAGAAGAACTGCTCAGAGGCCACCAGGAACTCTGGGGAGATGCTGGGGTCCAGGAAAGGGCTGTATCCTGGGGGAAGGGAAGAAGAGAGAGGATAGTAACATTTAGCCCTTAAACCACCCACCCTCCCTCCCCACCCTTTCTCCCCCCCACCTCCAAAAAACTCTGCTAGCTCTCCCATTCTCCCTCCCCATCCCCTTACCTGCATACTTCGGGGGTGTTTTCTGCAGGAAGCTGGGCAGCCACTCATACAAAACGATGTTCTGAGGGTCAACAGAGGGCAAAAGGGAGGCAAGCGCTGGAGCAGCCACGCTGGGAGGGTCTGAGCCCCAGGAAGGCTTAGGTGGGAGGTGAGGGCCAGGCAGGGGCAGTCAGCAGGGAGGCAACTCCAACAGGACAGGTGCGGACGCCTGTCCCCCACTAGGAACACGGGATGGGCGTGGGCTAATAACTAATAACCACAGCCAAGTCTCGTGTGTGAGGGTCCTTTGCCTGCTCCTCATCTTCGGGGTCCATTCCTAGACGCTAGCTCCAGTTCTGGGGAGCAGTGTCCTCCCGGAAAAGGGCGTTTCTGGGGGCTGCTTGCGCGAGGATGGAGGGCTCTGCGGGGCAGCGCAGTCTCCCGCGCAACAGTCGCGGGGGCGGGGGACGGGGGGGCGGGGGGGCGGGGAGAGGGCGCGTGACTGACCTGGTAGGTGGCGATGACCCTCTTGCGCGCGTGCTGGAACAGCTCCTCGTCCCCCCATTGCGGGTGCTCGCGGGCCAGCCGCTGCGCGCACAGGTTGTGGTAGCGGAACCACAGCAGGCCCAGCGCCTGCAGGAACGGGTCGCGGTTCCCTCGCTCCGCCCCGAAGGCTGCAGGCGACGCGGGGCCGCAGGGCAGGAGAGGAGCGGCGGTGTGACCACCAACTTGGCCGCCCGCAGCCCGCGCCCCGCCCCGCCCCGCGCCCGGCCGCCGCAGCCCGCCCCGCGGCCTCACCGTACAGCCCCCGGGGCCCGCGCTGTCCGGTGGCGGGGTCGGGCGCAGTCCACATGAGCAGGGGGCTTTGCGCGTTCCGGGGGAAGGCGGGGTCGGGCCCCGACGCCAGCTGCCCCCCGGAGAAGCTCCGCAGCGCGTCGCTCCACGAGTGCGAGGAGCCATAGATGGCGCTGCCGTCCAGCCAGCCCGTCACCTCGTTGGTCTGCCGGGGGCACCGCGAGGGTGAGCCGGGGGTGAGCCGGGGGTCGGGTAGCGGAGGCGGGTGTCAGTGCGCGAGGGGGTGGGAGCCTCTCCCCGCCCCGCCCCGCCCTGCGCTGGCCTGGCCGCGAACCCCGGACCCCGCCCGCCTCGTCTCACCAGGTCCCGGGGATTACTGGGGCTCTGTCCGGTTTCGGGGTCCCAGCGGCTCCTCTGGAAGGGGAGGACCACGTCCCCGCGCCGGTCGGGGTCGAACACCGGGTCGCCGGGCGGGATGTGGATGTTGAGGAACTCGGCTGGGCAGCCGGGGGTCTCCACGCTCACCAGGTCCGAGAGCACGTGGTAGCCTGTCCACAGTGGGGAGGGTGTGCAAGGACCAGACTAAGGACCATTCTCCCTTCTGCATCAGGTATCTAGCCCTCCCCTACTCCCATTGAAGCTTCAAAAGACTCCTCAGCCATTTTTGGCAAGTCCAAGTCTTGACCTCCCCCACCCTTCCCAATCCTTTGTTACACCCTGGTCCAAACTGTTTTCATTGCCAGTTTGGTCTTCTCCTTGGTAACTGGGAGGTCCCGGGTGAGTGTGCCTAGGCAGTCAGGCTGGGAACACCTGCTCCAACATGCAGCTGGGAGCAGCCTGCCCAGAGAACCTGCCAGTCTCACTACAACACTGGACACTGGGAATCAAATGTAGGCACCCTGGGTGGCCAGCAGGAGCCCCGCATTCCTGCTGGGAGCCAACAACCCACAGTCACTGGGGTCCGGCCACCCACCCTAGCACCCCCATTTTGACACCCACACCCACCAGCCCTCTTATCAAAATCAGAATCCTGCCCTGAGACTGTCCTAGGAGTCACAGTGGGCAAAGAGTAAGAACAGGGTCCCACCAAAAGTCCCTACCAGATTATTGTCATGCTCCTGCCTCTACCTGCAGTCCCATCAACAGCTCAATGTGGGGCAAATTTATGCCTCCCCCAACCAGACTTTCTCCCTCTACTTTTTCTTCGCCAGAAAAAGAAATACAAGACATAGCTTTCTTGACTTAAGAAAAGTCATTTTAGGCCCCAGACATCTTGTGATTTATGCCTACTTGCACAAAGCACATTCTTGAGTTATCGTTGCAGGATTTAAACCCCTTTGAGCACTGAGATATCAGAGCAATTAAAAGGCAGACAATTGATGCCAACCCTTGCTGGCCCATGTGACTTCCATCAATTAAGACCTGGACTCTGTCACTCCGAGATGACTTTTGCCTAAATTCTAGGCTTATGCCCCA